AGGCGGATCGCCGCCATAGCGGACACTACGGCCGCCCACGTGCTTCTGACTTGTCCTCCGGATTGTCGCACTTGACTTCCGTCACCTCACATCATCCGGAATATCGGACGATTCTTGCGGGCCTCTCGAATGCGCTCAGTGAGCTGTTCTTCAGACAAGGAACATCTGGTCATCATCATCTAGTTCAGGCGGCCCGTCGTCCGTGTCATGGCTGGACATCAGGGGCTCCAAATACGCCAGCCACGAGTCAACTTCAGTCTTAAAAGGGGCATGCTCTCAGCATTGCGGATGTTCAGGCATATAAGCTTCCTTACAAGTGGCGAGATGAAACTTATCCCATCCTCTGGCTGAAGGCAGGGCCTCCGCGCAGATCTGCGAAAGCAAGGCTCGTCGTTGATGACATTCACGGCTGGCGTGGTCGAACGCCTTTGCTCGAGACGCATTCATTTAACCTGAGCCTGACGAAAAGCCCAGCTGCAACAATATAGCCGGTCAAAAAAACCTTGGGTTGAAGAGGTATCCAGAGTCTCCTTAAGGACAAACTCACAAGACATGCCCCTTTGTTTGGTAATGCTGCCCCGCTTGCCACCAGCGATCAGTTCAGGTGGCACGCGGCCTTTCTATCATCACGCTGCAGAAGATCTGGACGCTATGGCCCTGGACAGCTTGCGCGCGCGTGGACGGTTAAACTCCCTAAGCTTACCGGCAGGGATTCGACTCAAGTTGACTGTGAAGACGATGGGCAAGATATAGTTACAGTATATAGCGCGCCCACGCCACTTTTGAGACTTCTGGTAGTATAGAGGGAACGGTGGGTTCTCCAAGTGATAGATTCGCAGTTGTTGGGCATGACCAAAGTCATCCTGCGAAGGAGCTGTAGGCCGGCATCTCAGAGAACGCGATCGATTTGTCTGGGCGCGTCCACCCGGAATGCGGGGGGATTTGGGCAAGGTTTGCGGCAATCTTTTTCATGAACTGCGACTCTTGCATTTAATTCGCTGCTCCAAGGGAGCCAAAAAGGAACACCACGCAAGGCTTCTCATAGGGACGATGGCCTTGCTCTTCTTGCCCTTGCCTCTGCCCTTGGTGGTCGGAACGCCGACTCCTTTGCACTTGGGGATTTAGATCTTCCTTTTGTCCACGCGGCGAACGACGCGGATTCCGTTTTTCTTGCACATGTACGCGGTGCATCTTGGCATTCCACAGGGGTCTGGCATATGGTGTCACAGGTTTATGTTCACCTTGGGAAAAGGCGATCTTGAGATCCATGTGACAGGTTTGGGTGACAGTGCGGCAAACTGTCGCAGAACGGAGCCCCCAAAAAACAGGCTAGGCTGCTTGTCAGTCTGGGGTGTCCTTCTCCCTGTGAAACCCTTGATTGAGCGCCCAGGAGAACCCAGCGGCCTTTATCTTTACGCATGTCCACAAGCTCAAAAAAATATCCGTCATTGTCAAACCAGGATTTACACTCATGTTGCTTTGCTTCCACGAGCTATTTCGCAAGTTGTCGCTTCTTTTGCTGGGTTGCCTCCTTCCGTTTCTTGCCAACTAAGTATGCGAACACGTCCCCTTTTGCTTGGCACAGAGTCAAGCGAGCATTGTCCTCATCCGCAATGCAGGAATTTACTTGCTTTTCTGAGTTTCCCGGTATATAATTCTTTCTGATTATTTCCCCCGTCCTTGCCGCAATGAAGGGTGTACCGAGGGACTGTGAAGGAACCTGTATTACTACAAAGCGTTGGTTCTGCTGACACCACCTATCCCTATCGACGAAGAGGTCGTGATAGTCGATGGTTACCTTGAACTCGGGTTGATTCCCCTCTTCTTACTGTTCTTCATCAACCGTTTCTGTGTCCAAAAAATCGGACGAAGGGCGTTCATCTTCCGGGTCTTCGGCCATCGGAAGGTTGTCCTGACGGTTGCGCGCTTGGATCTCTGGCGTCATCATCTTCATCTTGCGGCAGCGGATCCCGAGCCTTTTCGCCTTTTCGTTTCACACAGCAGCAACGGACGGGGTATTTGACGCGACTGGCGGCGAAGAAGTGAGGCGATAATCACCCCCCGCGCTTGCTCGGCGGAATGTCCAGAGGAGATGAAAACGGGTCAGGAATCTGCAGTACCCGTCAGGGAGGCGCCACATGAGTACCAGGACTAACACAACAGCCAACGGCGCAAAAGGATCAGGCGTAGGAGGAGCTGCAATCGCAGGTGGAGGAGAAGGTGGTGGCCGCAGCGCGTCAAGGATCTTCACGGCACAGGCCTGTTATTATTGGCAAGAGACATCTGCTCATCAGGTTTTAAACCAGGAGGTGGTAGGAGGAGAGCAGGCGGAGTAGGAAACCAAGTGCAACCTGCAAGGCGCTTCCTCACAGTGCACTGCTGACCCTTTGCAGAGGAAAAGCGGCTAGACGAATCCTGCAAAGGAAAGCTGACCTTGTTCGTGTCTCTATGCCGCTTGCACCCACTCAATGATGACAAAGCAGTCAACATGGCGATACAGCGATACACTTCGGCTCGCGAAAAACGCCAAGCTGAGAAACGTGGCAACCATCAGTCATCAGTCTCTTCTGCTTGACTCTCGGAAAATCGAGCATCCTGAGACTGATTGCTCTGGTCGGCCGAAGTTCCTGCCCAATCAGCCGAGTTTATCCTGAGTTCCACTGTTCCACTTGTGACCTGTCCTTAGATAGCTTGGATGGCCTACACTTCATTGCACCAACAACGTCCATCGTCCCACTCACTAGTACCTCAGGTTTCCTCGGCAGTTTCGTTTGGTGAGCCTGCGATGGCTCTTCGACTCTTCGGACGCTGATGTGGCAACATTGGCGTGCTCTAGTTCTGCTGTTTTCCTTTCCCTTTCCAGTTTCCCTTGAAAGCATCCTTTCCTTTGAAAACTAATCCCTTTCCTTTCTCTCCTTTTCCTTTGCCTTGCTGATAGAAACTGGAGCCGGGATGTTCCAAGTAATGCGCTGCACCCTTGCCTTTATGGCTGACAAAGCCAATTCTTTTTCCTATTCATCGTCCTTGACCTTTACGTTTCTGAAGTTGTCGCGATCAGCGATTGTGGACCTTGCTGTTGAAATATTCTCGCTCAGCAGAAAGAATCAAAAAGGCATTCTCGTTGATTGGGGGCAGACACAGGCCCCTCTTCACCTGTATCTTAGTCTACAACCCAAAACCCTGCTTCATTCCCCACATCGCCTTCATCAAGAGTGAGAAAAGGTTGGCATCGAAACAACGGGTCTGCCGTATCCGTTGCTGTGCCACAAAGAGATCTAGGAAAAACCTTTGGCTGCAAGATTCATATAGTTGTTGACGCCAACATGGCGCAAAGGTACGCTGGAGACAAAAAGTTCTACTGTGTATGCTCTTCGCTCAAGCCTGACTGGACAAGAAAGATGAGAGACGTGAGATTGTCTGAAAGGAGATGGAAGAAGGAAAGTTCTTCGATGCTGCGGCTTCACGTTGCCAACCACTTCAGATCAAATTCTCTCAGCTTCCGTTCTTTTACGTTTGGGCCCTGCATTTGTTGCAAGAGCATGTGCTGCTGCTGTGTGGGGGTGTTCGGGCAATCGGCGTCACTGGTGGATGGGACGACTGTAGTGTCATGACTATCTTGGATGAGGGGTCCAGTCTAACACATTCCCCACTGCCTCGCGAAGCGCGCATAAGCTGCGCGAACTGCCACGAAAAGACCTGGCCCGCACCTTTCAAACAGTAGGGCATCGGAGTGCCCTTGAAATATGCAACACCCTTTCGCTCATCTCCAAGTTGCGTGTTATCAGGCATCTTCTTGTACAGTAATACTCAGCTGAGCCTACAACAACATCGAGCAAGGGGCCAGGCCTCTCTGCAGTAAGCATAGGCGTAGTGGCAATTGCTGATCCAATCACCTATCAAATCTTCACACCTATCAAAACTTCACGAACTCTGGCCATCAAAAGTGGGAGGGGGGCTGGTGTCATCTTGACACCTCGTGCTGGCTGCGCTTACGGCACGCCGAGGTTCCGTTTCTAGTCACTCCTGGCCTCACCTTTGGCGTCCGCATCTATGCGGAAGATCTGGACAATGGTCACACAGGCAACACACTGGTTGTCTCAAGTTCGGAATGCCGAACAGACACGCACCAATGCAGTCTACGCGACAGCGAAGCAAAGGAGAGACAAGCCGCCGCTATGGGGCAAGATCACCCAAAAGTGGCAGAAGTGCCATTCTGGAGCCAAATGACGAAACTGCATGTACAAAGATTAAAACACAAAGTCGACTACAAAGAACTGTAAACGGTACATTGCGTAGATATGGGCCTTGAAAACCAGGTGAACACAAACATCACCCCCACCCCCACCCATCTTCAAACATGCCCGAAAATCAGCAGGTTCTTCAATGGCGTCTAAGCAGCCGGCAACTGTATAGTATGGTTATATATCCAAAAAATAGGTTCCGCTAGGCCACATAACATAGGGCTTATTGGGGCTTGTCAAGAGCGAACCTGAAAATGAACACATATTACAGTAAAGAGTGTCTTAAAATACTTCCCGCTGCAAGTCGTAAGTAAGTCGGATGTATTGCCTGCAGGCCTTGCGAGACATTTGGCCTTCAAGCAAAGCAAATAATGCCAAAATTTCTGCACAAGCATGGGGTTGGCAGCGCCCCTTCAAGTACAGTGAGCCTCAAAAAGGCTCACTAAGCCCTATTCGGCCTTGGCAATAACAAAGAGTTCAGAAGGCTTACCTTCTGCCCGGAGTTTGGAGTTGTCACGTTGCCTGAAATTGCCTGAAATATTGAGCGTCCAGGAGTCCAGGCATTGCAAAATGTTTTTGAGCCAGACTTACCCAAATATTCATCAGGAGACACGAAGCCGCGAAGGCTGATATACCAAAGCGGAGCTGAAGTTGAGTGAATTATTTTCCTTGCTTCCTTCGTCCTTTCTTCCATCTATCCGTTCTTTCTTCCTTCGCTTGATCCTTCCCAAAACATGATCACAGTGTGAGGCCCCCCACCTGTGAGCTCTGAATCGGCCTGGGGCTTCGCCTGCTTCGCATGCACTCCAAGTTTGGGGCAAGCACCATACACGCCCTTAGGATCTCCGCAATACCTGCAGTGAGGCTGCCCTTCAGCTCCACATCCAAGACCAGGGCAGGTGCTGTCAAAAAAGCACTCCAACCCCGATTTTGTGCAGCTGCATCTGTCTTTGACTCCTGCAGGGTAAGTTTACAGTAAACATGGGGGAAAAGTGTGTTTGGAGGTTCCCTGACCAGCTCTCAGTGTTTCAAGCCAGCTTTCGGTTCCCCTAGCTTCTAAGTTCATTCCTTTCCGGCTCGACCAATCCATCTGTGGCGACTAAAGTCTGAAGTCTCGCTGCTCGCACTCAAGCCTGACACACAAAGGCCCAGCCCAAGGACCAATACGCTGGCTGGATGTGGAAACATCGCTAGAGCGAATGAGAACAACATGTGGCTAAAGCTGTACCCTCATGATGTTGTGATGCCTCCCATGCGTGGTCTGGATTTGAGCAAAAACGACTGCATTGCACAAAATGTGGACCAAAGGTCGATGGTTTCCAGTGACCATATACAAGAATCAAGAATAGCATACAACTTGTGCACTGCCAAACCTAACAGCAAACCTGCCAATATGGAAGAAAACACATGATCAATCAAGTACAAACAACATACAAAGGGATCAAAGCTTGGAGTGAGTGATAACTGATAGCCGGATAATGTCCCCTTGCAAGTTTTTCGGCAAGGTGTGCTTTGCTTCGCTTGTCTAACTTCTTACAACATGACTGCAAGACCCGACATGCACCAAAACTTCAATGGGCAACAGCCCCACCCTGAAGCAATCCTAGTTTAGAATGGCTTTGACCCTCTGGTCAGCTGGTCTTCTGGATGGTCCATTGGTCATGACTGAACCTGTCCTCTAACCTCTGCCCTTTGCTCGAACCCAGCTCCTACAGCTGTTGCTTAATTTTTCTGGTGGTTGCTGGCTGAGCGAAACTACGTCTGGCATGTTGCTGTGCACGGCTGATGGTTGGGTAAAGCTACGTCATGAGGGCTTGAAGGATACGACAACTGCTTCAAAATGACGGGATGGCCTCAGGCAAGCGTTCTAACAAGCAAGCAAGTCAAGCCGCGTTCAACCTGCTTTGTTCTTGCTCTTGGCCTGTGTAAGAACAGAATCATGCTGAGGCTGTCAGTCTGTCTCATGGGGGATTGAATAGTCAAGTTCAAAGCTTCGTTGTCAAGGATTGATGGCAGATCCTCACACCACCAGGGGTCCTGGAACTAGCATGGTGCACCCAACGTCACCCCACCCCATACGCAATGGATGCTCCAGTTCCAGTCCTTCATCTAATCTCATGCAATGTCTTCTCTTAAAAAACTAAGAAAAACATCTCAGGCTCCTGGAGTTTGTCTGGTATCTTAGACTTACGCCCTCTCGCCGCCTCTCGCCTCTCGCCGCACCAAACTCGAATTCCCTTTTACAGCTGGACCACTATATACGTAATATATGGTACATCTTAGTGTGGTGGTGGTGGAAGTCTGCCACTCTTCAATTCTCTGGAGTTGTACCTATATACTTAGACTTAGAACTAGGACTGCTCTCCGACTATGGCTTTTTCAAAAAGCGACTGGCGATCTCTCGTCAGCAAGGCCACTCTCTGAGCGTCTCTGAACCTGGACACGGGTTGCAGTTTATCAGTCATGCCTGCAGCCACTCTACAATAAATACTATGGATTTGTGATCACTTTTGTCGTGTTCTAAGTCCACAACGAAAGGTCGGCCGGAGTCACCTTGGCGATTGAGGAGGAAAGGTCGCGCTTTCACTTGCAGAAGCCATACGCACTTGGAAGTGTGTGTGCAACCCTTGGGGTCACAGGGGTCCTTTCGGGTTGGTTTGTTCTTGTTTGCCGATTTTTCAAGCAGGGGGCACAGAGACTGAGTCCTATCCGTGCCAACGAAGCTATGGAAACCAGTTGGAGGAGAGTTGGCTTGTACCTGCCATGGTTTGAACTTTTGATCAAGCTGTGACTCCACTATTCAGCACAGGGCTAATGCAATCTGCAGTCATGCACGAACGCCGTCAGCTTGTCGCTTCGATCGGTCGATGGTTTCTTTTAGATTTGATGGCCACGCTGAACTTGATGGACCTCCTTTCAAGTTTCC